GCTAAAAAAAAACCCGCCCAGTCATCCAGGACAGTACATGTAGATTTTCCACTCTGGCAAGTATAAACTTTCTCTCCTCACTTACCCCATGGGCAAGAGTTAAGGTAAGCCTCCTCTGACTTCAGTTTTGATAAAGATTGAAACGAGTAAATTTTAGGCACATGGGTAATCAAGTGTTTAGCGTAAGTTTGAAGAAAATTACAATTTTAAAGTGTTGTTTTGTTGATTAAGTGACGCACGACTCACAGTTCAGAAGTGGTTACCTAGCACATGTATCAAAATCTGCCCTGATCAAATTTCTTTCCAGGATTAAAAATAGCTGTGAAAGAAAATTATGACGATCACTGCACTATTTATACACAGTATCTTTTGCAAACGTGAAGGCCGATAAATTTACAGAAGACGTTTGATGCTTTAATATTTCCTTTTTTTCACCGTTATTGTATAGCACAAGCAATCAAACAAAACAATTTTGTTCTATAAATTATTTCTAGCTCATCTGGGACTTCTGGACACCCGCGCTTTGGGAAGAGAAATTGCAAACCAAGCGTTAAATTTTATTCTCCACATGATGAGCGACAAAAGTGACAAAATAAATAAACAAGGCATTTTGAAGGAAGTTGAAAACAGCTGGAACGAGAGAGGTAAGTATTTGACAGTCTTGTCAATTGTCTTCTCTGGCATCGGTAAAAAAATTCCATCCTACTGCATCATTTGAAAGCGTTATTTCTTATAATTTATTGTTTTATTTGAAACTGCAAAACTATTTTTGCAAATAAATTAAAGCAAAATGGTAACTAACAAAAAAGAATGAATTAGAAAAAAAAGAATTAGAAACTTCCCAGCATTGTCTGTTGTCTTTTTTACAGCACTGTTTGAAAGCCCTGTCATGGTTATTACATTTTGTAGCTGATTTCTCGAAAAGCAAATCATTTTGTTAGTGGTTGAATGAATCAAAATAAAATGGTACATTGTATGTTTACAAGTAACCACTGCAATATTCAGCCAGTTTGAAAGAGAGAGGGCTTATCTGCTTCTTGAAAACACATGACATTCATACCGGATGTACCAAGCTTGTGAATACATGTACATACATGTACTAATGCTATAACATGAAGTCAAAATGCAGTCTAACGCTGTAAAACGCGCATGAATGCGTTATTAACGCAAATTCTGCTTCACTTAGTTCTGAGTGGTACTGTACACAGCTGTACAGTGTATATAGATATTGGTTTGTTCTCATACATGTACATGTATGACAAGTCTATAAAAGAGTGAATTCCTTTCAGCTCATTTTCTTGTTAATACCACATACATGTAAAAGAAAACTAAGGAAATTTTTCTGAGTGGTCTACATATTTCTCTTATTGGCAAGAAAACATTAAAATAATAGAAACTACAGTTAACAAGTGTGTATGACTTACTTGTGATGACACTAACACTAAAGCCATGTCTCGCCTTCTCCAGCGCTTCACCCTCCACAAAACCATGACACTCATAGCTTCCCAGGGAACCATACAGACTGTCATCAGCCAATGTTACATTTCTCATGAACATGGTGGTAAAAATCTTGGTTTTACCATCTGCAAATTAAGTGTTAAAGGTCTTAACTGGGAATGCAGACTGTCGGAGTTGAGTTAAGTTTGTGACAAGCAACATCAATAAGCTCAGTCCATAATAGAAAGCTGGTGCTACATTTGAGCTTGTGCTTGGAATTTCGGATGCTTACATGTTCACGCAACTTTCAGGTGATGTTTATTGTTTTACATGACATATCCAGTATTTTGAAGTTGTACTGACAGTGTCAAATGGAGAATGCAGAGTCTGAGTCTACAAGGCTGACATGTGTAAAGGATATTTTAGTCTACTCTTCATGTACACAAATGGATGGAACTTCATCGGTAATACTACACTGTACATGTACAGTACATAGTTTAAGCACACCATGACAACAGTGGCAATAAGAATGCCACCAAACAAAAGCTTAAATAATTAATGAGCAGAACAATGGCCATGCATGTACATGCATGTTATAAATTGTTGTACATTTCCTAGCCTTCCTCTGCAAAACAACAAAGGCTCATGATCAAGTCCTGTGTACATTGCATCTTGGAGAACATGAACCATGGCAGCTAATTTTCCATATTGTACATTTCCAAAAAATATCCATACCCCCACCACAAAGGGAATTTCCATTTTCTAAACACAAAAATAACCCCCTCCCAACCCCTCTGGAAATTCCAAGATTATTATGGACACCCCCCATACCCTCTGGAAAAGTCTGTTGAAGTTGAAGTAAACACTCCAAACACTAGGCAGTTTGCTTTGCAAGTCACTCCTGTTTACTCTTGATCTATCGTAACATCTGACAATATGTTCTAAGGAATCATGAGACAATTTTTAAAACATGCTTTACAAGTAAAAAGATAACAATTAATGGTAACTTGTCAAATTACCTTCCTTTATCACTACGTCCCTTTGTAAATGTGGTACCATTTCCATTGAAAGACCAATAAGTTGTGTGTTTTGAAATTGACACCATACTTTTATCATGAACATGATCACTAACACACTCATGAAGCAAAATTACAAACAAATGGACAGATATAAACACAGGGCTCGAAATTAACTTTTTTGTTTGGGAGCTAGCTGGCGACTAACAGAAAAATTTTGGTCACCAGATCATAAATTTTGGTCGCCAACTTATTTTATATATAACTTGCACATGAACACGATTTTGTACGCTACTTTGCATGCAAGAAAAGTCACAATTGAAGAGTGAAACAATTAGAAACAATAAGAGTAACACTTAGTTGTAAAGCTACCATTGTTCTCAGGTGATATGTCTCTGGTCCGAAGGTGATGGTTGTCTCCATAGTTGTTTTAAATGAAGCGATGTATAAAACATTTTAAGTCTGTGGTTGTCATTGTGAGACAAACACGGGTCCTTGCATATTGTCCCTTTGCTACTTCTCTGAAATGCTGTTCTTTATTTTCGACTTGCTTTCCTCAAAGGATTCAAAGTTTGGATTAACCTTTTGGCTGAATCTTCATTCCCCTGCACCTAAAAACTCACGTAGTTTCTTCAACTGATTGGTATCTGCCACCATTTTCACGGCAAATGAAAAGCACATGGTGTTGAAGTGTGCCTGCCATCCCAGTTTCGGAAGAAACCACTGAAACAATATAGCGTGCTGTGAATGCAGTAACGACATGTTGAAATCATTCAATTTTTTCGATTATCTTGTAATATTCAGACATTATTCTACTGGGGACAGAAAGGTGAGTTGTATACTAGCTACCATATCTGATTTATTTCCTAATATAAAGACTGAAAAACAAAAGTTGTGTCATGGTTTTCTTTAGTTATCGGACAAAACGCAAGTCGCCAGCTTGCGACCAGTTCTGAAAATTTAGTCGCTAGTGCTCAATTTTTGGTCGCATTTGCAACCAGTGAGTCACAATTTCCAGCTCTGAAACAAGAGCACAAAATTCTTAAGTTTCTGTAATCATAACATCATTATTTTCTACCATCATAAAAAAAAAAAATTTTCACAAAAGAAATCAACTGCCACACGACAGCTTTGAAGAGCCATGTGAAAAACAAACTTATCTAGGCTAGTCACCAGTGCTTTTTGGTCCATAAAGTGACTTCATGTAGACTACTAACAAGTAATGGCGACCATGTCCACGAAACAGCATGTTTGTGGTATTTGTTAGCTTCCAAAGTGCTTTTTGAAGAAAGAAAAATTTATTTCAAATATAATGCGGTTCAAATACAAGTATTCAAGCTCCTAGTTTTTGATGTGGAAGATCTACTTGGTACGTAAGAAAGGATTTTTCAACAGCTAGATCAATAAAGTCTGCATGCGAGCCAAGTGGCCCATCAGACCGGAGCTTATCCCGGTTTCTGTAGCTAGATCAATACATGAATCTATATTGAATCAAAGGGCATCTGGAAACTAAATCAACCATGCAGCCCCCCTCCCCTCCAGAATTTCCTGGATCTCTGACCCCCCACCCCATTTGGAATTTCCAATTCTCTCCTTGGTGGGGGGTATGGATATTTTCCGGAACCACACATTGCCTGTTTGAACATTAATGTCGGAACTCTTCAAGAGAAGGCTACATGTACACTGTGGGCTATCATGTACACAAACCTCAACACGATACAGGTACAAGTATATATGCAGTACTTACCTTCCTTTTCGCTTCGGTTGGTAAAGTATAAGTTGTCATCAGGTTTTAGTTCTACAAAGCGATTAAACCTATTTCTCCTCATAAATTTGATTTTCTCAGGAACAAGGATTCCTTCCGCATCAAAAGCAACACAAGTGACCTGTGCTGGAGTGAACTCTAATGGATAGATGTTCTCTGGAAAAGGCTCCACAATTCCAAAGGCAGAATCTGAAAGCATCGGACAAGAAAGATTAAAAGTAAAGTTAATCGACGTTTAGAAGCATCAAGCATCATTCTCAAGATTGAAATTGTAAATGTCAACACCAAAGTTGTTTGAAATGGATTGCATTCCAATATGCATGAAGTACATGTATGTACATGTACTAATCATCAGAGAATAACTTCTTGTGGATTGAGTCAGACTACACGTTAAGTGATGGCGTTAGTTTTTTTACGAATGAAAATGCAGTTATTGATTTAGTTGGAGGACCAGACTTCATTTACCATGCACTGATACAAGTAATAGGGCAGACATTCCTTAACTTCAGTCAATATCCCTTTAGCTTGATGCACATCTAAATTACATAATTTTTGCAAATTGACAATTACATTGATTTAAATGAATGTAAACCCTGATCAGAGAGAGAGAGAAGGTAACTGAATGCTTTTAAAATACATGTACAATGTACACATACAAAATGTATATGAGCATGTGCTGTATATGCAAAGGACATACACAAATTTGTATCTTCGTGCCACCATGTAATATCCTTCATGTCAACCACATGGTAGATTTTATCAAATTTGCTTTTATACCATAAATTAAAGTGTACTTCTACAGTGTTATAAATTACTAAATAATTTGGGAATTGCATGTAGTAGTGGTGTATCTAGTTGGCTACTTGTCCATACACTGCTTCCACATAAAATTAGAATTTGGGTGGGTTTTTTCTTAATCCCTATATTTTGCCCAATTTAAGCCCAGTTGTAACTGTGCATGTTTTATAACTCGCTCTTCATGCAAATGTATATTTCCCACAAATTTCTGGTTAATTGGATTTCAACCCAGTACAGCATATGCAAGATCATGGCTTAACTCTCCATAGCATCCTATTGAAACTAACGCAAACAAAGGCCTACAAATTTACATCAAATTAAAATGTTTTTGTGTAAGAGATTTATTTGATATTTTTAATGTGTTGCTGTCAGTGTTTCCTGTTGTGAAAACTTGGGAAAACTCAGAAAAGCTCTGAAAATACTCATATATGGCACGTAATCCCACAACATTGGTTATCATCCCAAACTAATTCCACTTGAGTGTAATCATGCGTTTCATAAACCGTTTCTTGTTTGGTTTAGACTTGTAACGATCCAAATACAATTCACAAAGTTGTACATCCAGTACAAAGTAGAAAATTTTCTGATCTGAGGAAGGCCTGTTAGAAACCCTGTTAGACATGGGTAATAATTCAAGTCTTGCTTCAGTGAGACAAAATACCAAAGAGTAACAACGGAATAATAACAATAGAAATGCCTGGATTCCTCTTCAGCAAATTACGTGCACACTTCGACAATGATATTCTTAAGCTTATATACTGGTCGGCTTATTGTTAACTTACAGTCTTCAATGTATGAAGCACGGTTTCTGAAAATCAGTCTTCAAAATATTGCTATAATCCAGAGGTTTTCCTTTACATATGATATTAACAGATGTTATAGAATCGTGGAAGAAATAATATGAAATCACTTGCACGAAACCTGTCGAAACTTTCGTCACGCCATAAACGTTCGCAGTGCTAGTTTCAACACCAAGAAAGAACCGGCACTTTGCGATTGACTCTGGAAGTTTCAAAGCAATATTTTTTGATTGCTAAACTATAAATTACCACTGCAAGTCCGAAAACCGCTTCATTATTCATAAACATCAAATCCATCGTACGTAAGTAAAGATAGAAGTTCAAATTTTCATTACAGCGAGGCCTACTGTTATGACAGAAGTACAAAAAGTCAACTGCCACACGAAAATCTGTGTAGAAAAAATGTTATTTGAAGATTCAGCTTTACCAAGGGAAAATCAGGATACTGTGAATCGTCGCTTGAACCTAAAGAAACAATTTGGATCGGCATGTTCTTGTCACCTTCCTCGGTCTGTTGATAATTATTTGGGTGCCGCTCAATCCTTGCTTTTCACTAGAACATTTCTGTTGCAGCTATCGATACAATTACTCAAGAGTGGTAACAAAACTTCCAGCCCTACCTTGAGCCCTTACTGCTGGACAAATCACTAACACCAGAAGGGATATTCTAGCAAAGACTGCCATCTTGAACAACCGCACCTCCCGTAAAACAAAATCACTCGACCGAGGTCTCCAAGTAAATAAAGGCCTCCGGCCATACGTGAAAACGAGGCGATTGTGTACTTCACTTCTACCGACCACTTCTACGAATTCTTTATGCCCTTTATGCCATTGCATTTGAAAGTCTAGAAAATAATTGCACTCCGCACCTAAGAAAGGTTGGACATATGACAACTTCTTTAAGAATGGTTTGTTTTGGCCACGCAATATTCTAACCAGCCTCCAACCAGTTGGGATTCTTAATAGTTTATGTTATATTTGAAATATTTGTTTATTTATTTACAGTGCCCCCAATTATAATTAGTACATTTAATAGTGCTGAATCAGGAGCCATAATCGGGGACGGAGACCGTAAGCGCGCGCCATTTCTAGTACAGTCGAACCTCGATTATCCGGACCTCGATTATCCGGACTATTCGATTATCCGGACTTTTTTCTCTGGTCCCAATTTTTTCATGAATATTAATT